CACACTAAGATCAAGCATGGTACCCAGCACATGTTGATGGTCCTTGCAGGGCATATAGTGCAAGAAAATTAATCCAGTGCTCCAGCAATCCTTTCAGACTCTGATTACTATGAACTGATATCACAGATGAAAAATATTTTATTTTTTCCATCAGTACAGGTAGTTCCAAAAAAAAAAATTAGACTAATTATCCACAAGTAGTGCTTATTTCACTGGTTACCTTTCTGATTTGGGCTACACTGTATTCTGATCTATTTCTTAGTATGGTTTGGTTTAATCAGACCAGGCCAACTGCTTAAAAAAAAAAAGCCCAACTCAGCTTCCAGATACCTTGTGTAAGTTCCGAATAACAATGTTGTACTCAGTTGATAAACTGAATATTTATACCAGTATGAATAAATGCACAATCTGACCTAATGTCAGTGAGTAGAGCAAATCAGTTGGAAACATTTCAACGTTACGATTAGCAATGAAAAATAAAGTTGAATTTACACAACTGTTAGAAATTCCTTCTCTTTGGATTTGCTCTACCTCGTTCCAGAGTGGCTGCTGTACAGTACATTACAGACCCTCTTACTTTGTTGCTATTAATGCTTGTATAGATAAGGCAGTAATTAGGTAGAGCACAGGATGGCTAGAATGGGTGTAACTACTTGGGAATGGAGAGAAGGAAATCAACTGAAAACAAAGGGAGTTGGCTTCAGCTTTTATGACCCTTGAAATGCTAGGTATTTTTTAAACACGCATATGGCATACAAACATTTGCAATACTGATGTTAGTATGTTTTTTACTAGATCATTTTATAGAGGCATTTATATTGAAGGATTGACTCTCTCTCTCTGGTTTTCAAAAACTATAGACAAAGATGTGTTCGTGGGGAAGTGAGCTGACAATTTTTTTTCCTGTAGAAATACCTGTGTTTTAATTTCAAGAACAAGAGATATAAAAATGATTATCCATTATTTTGGAAGGTTCAGTAATGCAGGTATCTAAATATTTAAGGGCTAGAGAGTTTGGGACTAGTCAGATCTATTCAAGTGGGCTCAAAGGGCCCAAGTGATTCCTACAAAGGGCTGAGAGAGAACAGTTGGAGATCTGAAATCAGGAAGGAAGTTTGCTCCTCTGGCTCACCTGGAACAGAGGCAGAAGCATAAGGGAGGAAAAAGCCCCTGCTCCACCACAGGCTGCTTTGGTCCTAGGAATAGACTCATTATACATGTAAAGCTTTTGTTGAACTGTGTGCCATCGATTGATGAATAAATTGTGCCTGAAGGAAAACCTTGAAAAGACTTTCTTATCGGATTAATTTATCGGGGACTGGGAAATGGATCAGTAACCATAAAGATCAGAGCTTGATTAAGGGAAGGCAAGGGATAGAAAAGTATATATATATTGAATACAAAAAAGTAAAAGAAGCACTATCACAACCTCAGCTTTATTATAAAGGAGATCAGATTAAATGATGTAATGGCCTTTTTTTGGCTTTTATCTATGAATGGATATTTTTACGGGTATTGCTATAAAGGCTGTCAATTAAACAAGCCAAGTAGAAAAAATGTACACAGAGTTGGGAATTATAAACAATATATAGAAAGAAAGTATAATCAGATGTATCTCTACCAAACAGCCATTGATAAACTACATGCTGGTGATCACTTCATAATCTGAACAAATAGTTTATTAATTATGATTTACTGGAAGCTGACAACATGCCTCATACTGTATGAGTAAATCCTCAATCCAGGAAACCTGGAATTGATTTCTTAACTTTAGATATAGCCACGCTGATTCAGATAATAAAGAAGCACCTGCTTCTGAATGCCACAAACCCTGAGAAAGTTCATATATAGCTCAAAACTTTGTGTTGCCAAGTCCATAAATAACCAAAACATACCATTACTAAGGATAGCATAAGCTTGCAGAGAAGAGAGGTTTTTCTGTCCATGGTCTATATAAGAAGAGAGGGTTTGAAGGCAAAGGGGAAATCTAGAGAAAGAAGTAAAGATAAAAGTGAATTAGGAAGAACTGAAAAGGCATTGTAGCCATTCCTTCTTTCATACCTTGGGAACTCTTGCAAAAAGGGAAGGTGATTGGCTCCCAAGGACACTACACTTCTAACAATTCTGATCTCACATAGTCAGGATCACTTGGTCACTCACATGTAAGAATATACAGAGGTTACATCATGGATGAGGGTCTGGCCTTGCCTTGCTTTGTTATCTGCTCTGCTGTAGATTTGCCAGCTGACATTACAGTCCCCTGGAGCAGTCAAAAACTCAAATATACAAGGGTCTTGCCATGCCTCCTCTGCCTAAAACTGAATGTGGCGTGTCACAGACACCAAAGTCTTTTGTATAGGATAACATAGCATTGCCTATGAGGACTCTGTGATTGTCATTTGAGGTCTGGGAGACTGGACATCTAGTCTCTTTGTAGTTGTTTTACTGCCGTAGCTTACATAAAGGAGCCTGCAGCACCAGTGACCAGGGCCTATTAGCAATATTCAACTCTTGCTCTTTATTAAGAGGGCTTCTTATCAAGGAAGTTCTGTAGGTTACTATTAAATAAAGGCATTTGCAATTCCTTTGTAAACTTTCTTCATTTTTGCTGATACAGAACTTCTGGAGATATTATTTTTTATCTTAAGTAATCAGGGTTCCGGATACAATGTTTGGATGATGTCTGAGTTAACCTTTCCAAACCAGGAAACGTATGTATCCTGTAATTATTTATTTTCTTTCTTAACTTTGCTTTTACCTAAAAAAAAGTTCTTTGTTTTGCTTAATTTCTAAACTTTAATTTGTTTTGCATTTTGACAGGTTTTTTTAAAGTGAGCACAGAAGAAAGGAAATGAATCAAAGTAATGGTACTATTTGTTGCTTGATACTTGATCTGCCACTGTTTAGCTTGCTTTTTATTAGGACTCTCTCGCATTGAACTGGGAAAAAAAACAAATCTTTGTTTCCTAAGTTTACTGCCCTTCTACGTATGCTCTTACTCTGTCAACATCACCAGAATATATGAACACATTCCAGTACTGTATTAAATAATATGACTAATGCTTATATTGTTTGTTCTTGTCTTCTACAAAGCAGAAGTATGTGTGCATGCATGCAACACAGCTTTGATAAGGTTTTCATTTCCTTCAGACATACATTTTGCTATGTGTCTGTATCAGAGAATGTAGGTCAAAGAAATGTGCCATGCATGTGGATTGGTAGGTGGTGAAGTTTGTGATGGTCCCTATTTCTTTTGGGAGTTCAATCCACAGGCTTAGACTGACCTCAAGAAAATACTTGAGGGCCAAATCCTGTCTCTAGAACTTCAGCCAATATAATTAGAAATGAAACAAACAATTCCATTGTCATGAAATATTTTAACACACAGAGTAACTAGAAATTCTTAGTCCTAAATTTCAATATCCCATTCAAAATCCCCTATTCTCTCTTGTATTTCACTATATTGTATTTTTTGTGTGTAATCAGAACAGGTAGCAGCTGTGGCTGGAGGTGTGATAGGAGGCATCCTTTTATTCACCCTTATTGGAATAGCGCTATATCTGCTTTGGAAGAAGTTATGCTTCCTACCTTCTTATGAAGAACTTGCCAATCCAGTTACTCCACCATGTCTGGAGCCCAGTCTACAGGAACAGAATTTTACCCAATCATCTCCTGCAATTCAACCAAAAAGCACAAGGTGAAAATATTTCTTCCTATCACAGGCTACTGTTTATTAAACCGCATGCCTCTCAACCTGCCAGTGTCAAAATGTAGGCAGACACACACACATTAGAGCAGTGGTTCTCAATACTTTTAGACTCAAGGCCCTTCCCTGTAGACATGAGGTCCCCCTCAGAAAATGCTACTTGTTGGTGAAATTGTATTTATGATCTGTGGACTACAATGTTATCTGGTGATGCTCAGAATGAAATTTTTCAAGAACCTTGCGATCAAGGAATTAATGAAGCAGTAGACCAAAAGAAAAAGTTGGGGGACTAATGTTATGGTTTCAGTCTCCAAAACAAAACAAGCAACAAGTATTCTCCCCCCGCCCCCACTCGCTTTTACATATTACTTAAGGATTAAAGGGATTTGTCTAAAAATGTGTTTGTATTTACAGAGTCTAGCACAATGATGTGCCAGATTCCTGGTTGGGTGCTTTAAGATCTTCCATAATACAAGCAACTGTTTACATTTTACATAAGCATACAATAAAAGGTATTATGTTGTCTAGTTAAGGAGTGATACAGATATAACTGATGGAAAACTTTGAAATTATAATGATACTAAATACATGTTCCTGTTACCAAGTGTGGTTTTCTTAGTTTTAATGGAAAAGTTGATAGTGGTTGTTGTCATTGAGCAGAACTAGAAGTGTTCCATTCATCATTCCACCAAAAATTCATGCGCGAGACTGGATTAATCTGACAAATGAAGAGCCGATTCAGGAGGACAACGAGCTGTGCATGACCCCTCAGTCTGGATCTCGGTCATCTTTTCATTCCTTGGGTATGATGACACTGCAAAGGTGGGACAGACTATTGGAAAGGAAATGATACTGAGTAGCATCTTTGCTGTGAATTTACTACAGTATTCAGCACGAATAGTCCCAACCACTTCCTGTGTTTTCATGCAAAACTGGGCCACAAGAAACAGTCAGCCCTGCCTCCCCCTTATCTTCCACACAAGCAAAACACTGGTAGAGTGCTGTGACAGTGCTCACCCCTCCAGATGGGTGGGCATAGCCAGTTGCAGTTGTTGTACCCTACAAGGGCTGCAGCAACTACTTTCTCCCAGGAGCTGTGCAAAGCAGTCACTGTCTATAACAGTGGTGGCCAAACTTGTTGCTCTGTGGATTGGATCCACTCTGTGGGACCAATCTGGCATTCGCAGGGCTGGGGCCCCAGGCAATACGCAATGAAACAGGCACTGGTCCTGCATGCTATATGGTGGCTGCAGCCACAGCCTTGTGTGGGATGGGGCCTGCAATCTCAGCCCTGTGCTGTTCTCAGGATCAGGCCCTGCCACCCATCCTCAGCCCACTTATTCAGGATCAGGCTCATTGCTCCACACCCATGTGCTCCAGATCAGGCCAAGCTGCCTCACACATTACGGATCAGGTCCCATAGCCCCGCCCCACTCCTATGCACTTAGGATCTGGGCCAAACCACCCCACATACACAGGATTGGGCCCAACTGCTTGCCCTCAGCCACACATCAAATCATGCTGTCCCAGAACCATGTGTGCCTGGTGGGGCCGTCATCCACCTCTGTGCATATAGGCAGGATCTTATGCACAGGGCCATGTCATGTGGCCCATAGGGCTCAGAAATTTGGTGGTGGAGGACTGGTGGCAGAATTGCTAATGCTCCACTGCCAAGTTTCCAGACTTCTGGGGAGCCCCAGAGGCCAAATCACACAGCTCTCCAGGCTACATCTGGCCCACGGGCCCTGCTCTGTAATAACAGGAATAAAAGAGATGGGCCCCAGAAATAAACATTTCCCAAGCTTTGAATTCAGAGTTCGAACCTTGAATTTATACGTAGAAGCAGCTTGTCAGTAAACAAGAATGATACATTGTTTCCCTTAAAGTCAACCTCATTTCTTTTTTTTAATTTTACAAAGCTGGGGCTTATGTTATAGGATCCATCAATCCAGAACTGTACAAGGACCCTGAAGACAACAGCGAGACAAACTTCCCTGAGGGCAACATTGGTCGTCTTTGGTTCTCAGTGGAATATGAGCAAGAAACAGAGAGGCTCCTTGTCTCCTTGATTAAAGCCAGAAACCTTCAGGCCCCTGCAGATTCCTGTAGTCCCTTTGTAAAAATCTACCTGTTGCCTGATGAAAGGCGTTTCCTGCAATCCAAAACCAAACGCAAAACCCCCAACCCACATTTTGATGAAAACTTTGTTTTTCAGGTACCTGCTTTTTAACTGGATTTCTGCCTATGATGTTTCACTCTGAATATCAGGGAAATAAGATCAAAGGAAGCAAGATAGGCTAGGTAGTCAAGAGGGCTACATCATTTCATGATGAACCTTTCCCAACACACATATGGCCATGACTAGCTGGTAGAAACTTTCCAATGAAGTAAGTTTTTGCCCAGAAGTGATGATTCATCACAACTAAAATACTTTGCAAGAAGGAATCAGTTTCAACAAACTTCTGTCAAAACATAGGCACATGTTCTGTTGGACATCTGTCTGCTTTCATGCCAGCTCTAATCAGTCTAGTTTGGGTTGCTTAGAGACCCTAGACTTTCCAGGTCAATTACTCCAGGATAGCCCTTCCACATAGACTGACACGGTTGGGAAATTAGTGTTTCCAGAGCTTCAATCTCTTTGCTGCAGAACCTGGAAGACCTAGGAGTTCTGGCTCCACAGCAGTGAATCAAAATCCTGAGAACACTGACTTGGACTAGGGTTCATAGGGATTCCAAGCTTCCTTATTAGCACGGATTCAGGTTTTCTCTGATTAAAAAAAATCCCCACATTTTGGATTAAAAAAGTAACCCAAAATCCACTTTTTCCACGATTAAAGTGAAACGCCACTAATTATATATGTGTGTGTGTATATCTATCTACACGCGCGCGTATGCGCGCGCACACACACATATTAGTGGTGTTTCAGTTTAATCATGGAAAAAAGTGGATTTTGGGTTACTGTTTTAATCCAAAAAGTGTGTGGTGGGGGGAGGGAGTTATCAGAGAAAACCTGGATCCCTGCTGTTTAGTAAGTGGGAGCCTGGCCATCCTGGGAACTCCAGCTCAAGTCAGTGATCTGTTGCAGAACTGAATGACTAGAATCACTGAAAGTTTTAGCACACACCAGAGAGCTCCTGATTTGAGGATCTCTGCCATGAAAGCAGGAGCCCTGACTCTTGAGTTCTAGGCTCCTGGCTCAGTCATGGGTCCCAGGATCTCATCATGACATTGACAGGGAGCCAGTACACAGAAGGGCCTGGGACCAGATCTGAATCAGGAGCCTCAGAGTCCTGAAAGTTAGACTCAATTTTGTTTCAAAATTTCTGACCACAGGTTTTTATTTTGAAATAATTTTAATTTAATAAAATATATAGATACCTATTTTATATTGAAATTATATCGATTAAAAATTAGTTATTTAATTAGTTATTTAATGTACTGCAGTAATATATTGAGCTTCTAGTCAGCAGTCATTCTAGCACTGTTATGCTAAGTGTACATCTAAGCACCCATAACCAAAAGAAAATCCCAGGCTCCCATAATTATTCTGTTTGAACGGTGTTTCCCCAAATAGAAATTTTACATAATTTCTGCTTTTATAAATTAGTAATTTTCAATGCATTCTTCCAAATTTCCAAAGAAAAATGCATGCTTATAAACCAAAAGGAGTGTCAATCATACGAGGTATTTTGCTTGGTATATGGCTATACATTTATATTTTTGAGTACAGAAACAAGCCTGAAAATAATTTATCATGTGTCCTGATGATAAACTATGGAGCTATGTAATACATTGCTTTTGTCATGCAATTTTTAACAAACACCTTTACCTGATCTGTTAATCCATTAACCTAAAACTACTAATATTTCCCTACTTTTGAGAAGCTTAAAAACAAACCAAATAATAAAAAATCTCTCTTAAATTTGTGAACTGGTTTACCTCCTCTCAAAATGTAATTCTCTGGCCCTGGAATTACCCTGTATTAAGATTTCAGGTGGGTAATGTCTGTAATTAGTAAAGTGATAGGTTGAAGGTACGGTATCTAGCAACACTACAATGCTAAAAGCATCAGTTTTGAACTACTAGGAACTGCATGCCTTCCCAGGGGATACCAGTTGCTTCTAGAAGTGGAACATTATACAATATCATACTTTCACATCAAAAGATTTATATTAATTTAAAAACTATTTGAAGTGCATTCTAGAGATTTTACAATTATATTAATACTATTTTTGTTTGGATCCTAAGAACTCTTTGCACAATTGTGACTTCACACACTTAAAACACTGGGCTTAAAACATTTTTTCAAATTCCAACTCTTCAACACATTCCAAAAAAAAATCTGTCTTAAATATACATGATGATTATATTCTACATAGTGGTATAAATAATTCATAAGCACCCATTTGGATTATATTGAACTACTTTTCCTATTTTTGCACAGGCTTCCAGTAAAACATTACACCAAAGAACCCTGAAGTTCTTGGTCTTTCACACTGATAAACAGAAAAGGCACCACCTCCTGGGCCAAGCTATTTTGCCTTTGAAAAATGAAACACTAACTAGTGACAGCAAACTGGTCATTTGGAGAGATCTGGAGGCAGAAAACCTAGAGGTAGGCAACTAAGCAAAGGGTTAAATAAATTAGGCAAATATTACTCTGGCTTGTGTTTTTAAATTTTCCATCTTGATGGGCCTACTAGGATGGCTAGAGAACATGCAGTAACTGCATGTGGACATGAAAAGGACAGAAGAACATGAAATCAAATAATATATTGTTTTGTTAAACCCTGACATAATAACATTCAGCTCTACAGAACTTCTGATGTTTCCCCAACCTGGACTTAACACTGGAATAGCTGCATGCATAGAGATCTACCTATTCCACAGCTTGAACAAAATGCAGTAGCTAAGTGTTAGAACACTTTCTGTTGTTATCTGTTATAGGCTGCGTACAGATTACTTTCTTCTAGTAGAAATGATTATTCCGGTAGAAAAATAGCCCAGGAGCTATGCACATATTCCTCCAGCCCTAGGCTGGAGTGCTTCACAGCACAGGCAAGCTCTCCAGTAAAGGGGCGCTAGAGGGCTGCTCTTTGGGCCAACCCACCCTTAGGAGAGCCCATTACTTGACAGTCCGTACTCTCCCCTGCCTGGGAAGGGGACAGGCTGTCAAATGGCAGATGGTAGCTGCTAAACAGCAGCTGCCACAGACTGCCCTAGAAGGGCCCCAGCCCCAGGAGAATGACCCCCAATCCTGTCAGCCCTGATGGGGACCTTCCAGGTTCTCCCCTGCAGGAGAATAGCCCAGCTCCTTGCACTTCTCTGGGTTGCCCTGGAGAAGTGCAGGGTGGGTGGGGAGCACTCAGCCACTGAAGCAAACCTCCGAGACCCTTGCCAAAGGGGAATGACAGCTGCCTCACCATATACTACTTTGGTCTGAGCCAGAGTAGTGTGGGGCAAGGCAAGGGCATTTCACCAAGCACTGACACTGCCACTGCCACACAACAGCCTGCTTCATCCTATTCTGCTCTGGGCAGCAAGGAGAAGTTGGCAGGGCTGGGAGCCAGACTTGAGATGCCTTCCCCCAAACACAGTTCCCAGCTTCTCTGCCTTTTAAACTGCAAGTGGAAGCCAGCATGGCTGAGAATCAGACTTACAAGCCCAGCTACTGGCTGTGCCAACTTTTCAATTCCCGGCCACGCTGTTCAGCTGAGCAGCGAGGGAAAGGAAACCAGCGGGGCTAAAAGCTGGTCTTGTAAGCCCAGCTTACTGCCCCTGCTGCTCAGCTGAGTTGTGGGGAAAGGGAGGGTGCAAGGGGAAGCAGGCGGGGAGCAACACTCCCTATGCTTGGCTCCTAGTGCCTGGAGCAGAGGCATGGCAAAATTCCTTCCTGCTTCTCACACTGGGAGCTCTGGTGTGAACCAGGGAGAGAGCATCTGGGGCTGCTCCTCCCTTTGTCTCATGTCTATGGGATTGGGGAACAGCTGCCTCTTGTTCCTTCTCCAGATGGGGGATGACCCTGGTCTCAGGAAGGCAGGGGCCCTTTCTCCTAACTCCACTCCTCCTTGTTCCTAGGAGGAGTTCAACTGGTGAAAAGCTTGCAGACATTATGTCTCCCAGGAGAAGCTCCTGGGAGCAATTTAACTCTGGTTGTTCCTGGGTTATTTTTCTCTCAAAGCAGCCATTTTTGCACAGGGAGAAAAAGCTTGAATGGCTGCACATTTTTGTTTTCTAATGGGAGAATGGAAATTTTTCTAGAAACTGAGTGTCTGTACATGGCCAGGAATTAAAAAGCGAAGGAGAAAAAAGCAGGTCACAGCAAAATAAAAAGAATGCTCTACCTCAAAACATTGTAATTCAAATGTACAGGAATGTTGCAGATGAGCCTTTAAGGAACCTTTTCATTTGTTAGCACTTTCATAACACATCAACAAGTTTGACCCCATTCAATTAAACCTACAAAAACAGATATTTAGCTGGTGACAAGTCTAAAATTCTTTATATTGCCCAAGGGCTACAGCATTACTTATGCTGGTGCTGAGGGGAGAAAGACTGTGGGAAGTGTGGGAGTATGAAGCAACACTTTGATAATGTGCAATAGAGGGATGGGGGCCACATCAGAGTAGCAGTTAATAAGAGGGTACAAAACTTTTTTTGCTGACATCAGTGTATTTACTCATGTAAATAAAGCCAAGGATTTAGTGTGAGGGAGCATATTGGAATCTCTTGAATAGTACACTGCAAAAACACTTTTGTCTAATATAACTAACACCAAAATACTGTTCATTGCAAATACAATTAGTAATGAAATACAAAGACATTAGAGTTCATCTTCCATTCTTAAAGTGGCAGAAAACACTAGTGTGAAAGTGTACATCTGTATATGACTGAAGAGAGAGCCTTTCAGTTTAATTTTACCAGTAATCTTCTGCTTACAAAGCCCCCTTCAGAGTATGGAGATATCCAGTTCTCCCTCAGCTATAATGACTACCTGGGACGTCTCACTGTGGTGGTGCTAAGAGCAAGGGGATTGAAGCTACAAGATGAGAGCCTTACTACCAGTGAGTATTGCCTTACTCTCAGTTTACCACTCCAGAATTCCTGTTTTAATTTATTCCTACCCTGTTCATCCACCGCCAGGCTTGCATTGACCCCATTTGAATAACTAAACACCAGCATGATTTAATTTCAGAATTAACAGGAGCAAACAGTTTTGTTTTACTGTGCTAACTAGATTTTGATAACTTCTATTTATTGTACCTGAAACTTTGTGCCCACAATTAACTGTGAACATGGTTGTTGGCCTCCAAATCAGACAAGGCTACATTTCAGAGATCCATAGGCTCTGAACCCTGGGTTCAAAATAATATCTGAACCCAACTGTGTGACTTCAGTGCACTTCTAGAAGCTTGTGAAGTGTTGTAGGATAGAAAGAGCCATATGGATGTAAAATATTTTATGTGGTTAATTTTCTCTGTAATTGCAGCTACTGAAGAGTTGTATAAAGTGCACACAGAGTGAATCTTAGAGCCTTGTTGCATAGGAATTTTGGGCAGCTCCTGGAGCTCTTAGCACCTGGATTGTCCACATATTAACACCTGAAACTAGTTTTAAGCACTTGTTATGTGGCTCAAAGATATGCCACTATAGGGCAGAATTCACCTCTGATTCATGTTACCTAGCTTGTTACACTAAAGTGTAGCCAGTCCAGGCTACACTTTAGTGTAAACACCCCACCCGCTTCCCCTGCTAGTCTGAGTTGAGCCCCGACCCTCCCCAGTGCCCCAGATCCCCACTCACTGCCCCACTTCCCCAGTCTCAGGAAAGCAGGCAGGGAAGGGTTAACCTGTCTGCTTGGATGCTGTTCCTGCTGCTCTCTGGGCAGGTACAGCCAGAAAAAGAGCAGCAACCAGGCAGCTCAGGCCAGGCAAATAGGTTAACACTTCCTTGCCTGCTCTCCTGGGACATTGGTAGCCACACCTAAGCAGTGGAGGGGAGGGCATGGGGGAAGCTTGGAATGGGAGGGTCAGGGATTTGTTCCTTTTTGTCCTCCAGGCCCCTGCTGGTATTGCTCCAAATCTGAGCTAGCACTAACACTGATCAACATTTGTGCAGCTCGCAGTGTAAGGTGTAACAAGGCTCTTACTGACAAAGATGAAATGCTGCTGTATCGGGTATCTTTAAACATCCAGACACCAGGCATTGTGTTACAAAATGCTAAAATGATGTTTTCTGAATTCAATATGTAAAATGCAGCATGTAAAAACAAGATACATATTGCATTTTGTTTCTAGAGATGGGTTTGCCTTGCTCAAGGCAGAACTGATATTAAAAACGAACAAACAAAATAATTTTCCAATAAGCAAAGACATGAGGTCAAAAGCCATGGCCTAGTTGTAAAGGCATGGCTTGAAGAACAGCTACTATAAATGGGCCCTAGAGAGCAGAGATAAGGAAGGCATTTATTAGGGTTGTGCGAAACGGTTATGTTTCAATTTGGTTTCAGATTCAGCCATTTCGAAGGGACGGTGATTTGTTTTGGTGTTTCAGATCACTGTTCCATTTTGATTCAGTCAAATCTGTTTTGGAGTTTGGACGCTGTTTTGGTAATTTGGCCGGTGGGCCCCTGGCCCTTTGACCCAGCATTGGGTCCTAGCCCCAGCACAGACCAGTCGAGGGTATCCCTGATATCTTTTATTAGACTAACTGAATAGTTGGAGAAATTTATCTTAGCAAGCTTTTGGGTTTGAAAACCCTTCGTCAGGCTGAGGAAGCATCTGCAGTTGGTGCATGTGGTCTTCCTGGATGGAATGAATAGTGAAGAAGCCAGAGGCTGGTATGCATGCAAGAAAGCCAGTCAGTGAAAATATAAAATGAAGTGTGAGGGGGTGAGGGACAAGCTGGGAGGGTGGGGGGTGGTTTGGGAAGGGGGATGTAGTAGGTAAAAGTGGAGAGGTACCTGGGGAGTCAGAGGTCAGGCAGGTTATAGTGTAAATCCAGAGGTTATAGTGTAAATCCAATATCTATATTGAGTCCATGAGTTTTTGTATCCAGGAGGCTGATAAAATGAAGTTCATAGGCTCGTCTTTAAAGAATGGTTTGTACATTCAAACAACCACAGAACCTTGCTAATCTCATCACTAGAATCAAACTTCCTACAGCCCAAAACACACAGAATATATTCAGACCATGCCATGACAAGAAATGCAAAACCTGCCAACATATCTCCAGTACCCCCACAATTATTACACCCCACAACAGAACCATCCCCAACTCCTGGATCTTACAGCTGCACCTCCAGAAAAGTTATATATCTCATCCGGTACACCCAATGCCCTGATGGAAAATATGTAGGAGACACCAAGCAACAACTGCACACCAGAATGAATGCGCACCAGAAATCTATTACAGACAAGAATACCCAAACACCTGTGGGGGCACATTTTTCACAAGAAAGCCACTCTGTCTCCAGTCTCTCAGGCCTGATCCTCAAAGGGAATTTACAAACCACTTTTCACACGAGCACATGAACTTCACTTCATCAACCTCCTAGATACAGACACTCATGGATTCAATATAGACATTGGATTTATGACACATGATAACCTGCCAGACATCTGACTCCCCAGGTAGCCCTCCACTTTTACCTGCTACATGCCCCTTCCCCTGCATCCCTCACCCCCTGAAACCTCAATTTACATTTTCACTGATTAGCTTTCTTCCCTGCATTGCATGCCAGCCTCTGGCTTCTTTACTATTCCTTCCATCCAGGAACAGCACACACACCAATTGCAGATGATTCCTCAGCCTGACGAAAGGTTTTAAACCTGAAAGCTTGCTAAGATGTATTTCTCCAACTATTCAGTTGGTCTAATAAAAGATATCAGAGTGACCCAAAGACCCTTGTCTGTCTTGTATGTGTTAAGGCAGAGCAGGATGATGGCAGCCTGTAACAGGGGGCCTTCCTGGTGCTGGTTAGATCTTGACCCACCCACCTGTTTCTGGTTCAACTGCCTGCCCTTCTTTCTCCTGTCATGCCTTGATGGAAAACCAATTAAGGTGTTACCCAGGCAGGAGATGACCCATTTAAGTCCCTGATGTGTAGGGGTGACATCCATTCTGCAGCTCCGTACCAACCCTACCCAGTGGCCCATGTCTCGCAGTTGGCATTCCAGGCAGCTAAACTCACCTGGAACCTCACAACTCCACTGCAACCAGCAAGCCTCAGGCCTCTCAAAGATCTTACAGGTGCGGAGCTTAAACTCAGATTCCCCCTCCTTCTCCAGAACTTCTCTGGCTATAGCACTCAGTTCCACTGCTTCCGGATCCAGCTCCCCCTCTGGCACTGGAAGGCTCAAGCTGGGAACTGAAATTGGGGTGGAGGGGATGCTCTCATGCTGGTGCTTATCATGCTGGTGGTGCTGGAGATTATTGTTATTGCTGGTGTTAGTGGAGGTGGGGTAGGTGCAGACACTGCTCCCATATCCTTGCTCCCACTAGCAGCAGAAGCCTCATGCCTGCTAGGGAAGAGGGTGCATCTATGTTTGTGGGGGGGCAGAACTTGCGGCGCTCACTCTGGCCCTTCTGCCTGCCCCCCCCCACCAGAAGACTGGGCACCTGCCTTTTCAGCATGCTTCATGTTTGGTGTGCTGGAAAATGTGTGTCTGCATGTGTATATGTGTAGTGCTTTCCTGCGCAGTGATGAGACACTGCCAGACAAAGCACAGCTTTCTTTTTGTTTGGGGTGAAAAAAAATAACTAGAATAAACAACAGGATTTTGAGGGAAGAAATATTTGAAAGGGATTAACAATAGGGATGGCAGGCAAGGGTAAGTGGGAAAGAATTGGCTAATGGCTGGCTACAACTTGGTAGCAAGAAACTACCTACTGATACCAGCCTAGACCCTTTAGATGCTATGATCTGCTGCTTCTGCTGCAAGAGACAGATCTCACAAAAGGCAGAGATCAGTTCACAGACAGCCTTATATGTTCTTTCTCCATCCCTCCCTCAGAGAACTAGGATTGGAACAGACCTCAGGGACAGACCGTGGACACTGGCCAGCTACAGCTGCCAATATCAGAGCAGTCCTTCTCCGCCTCTTCCCCCTCCCTCTTCTGAGTTTCTGTTTCCCCACAGTCCTGCCTCCGGAATGCTTTGGATAGTTCCGTTTCATTTCAGAGATATTTTGGAGCCTTCCGTTCCAATTCAGATTTGGTGTTTCAGGCGCCGAAATGGGCCGAAACACCTCCAAAACGAAATGGCTGCCGGAGTTTCACACAACCCTAACATTTACATGACTGGCTTTTGGGAAATGAATTACAAATGATGTAGGTGAAACATCCTAAGGGTGGAAAAGCTTAAACCTGGACAATTCTTCATTGTCATTACCTTTATGACCGAGAGGAGAATGCTTCTTATATTTGATCTTTCTTCTAAGTGAAACTTTGAAATTTTTCAACAGCAAGAGCTAAATTCACTTTGGTTCTTTCAATATACGTGCCACAAAGCTGCTGTGTTAATTTGATGCCACAGTCTTGCAGATTATTATAGTAACCATCAGTATACTGATGGAAGGCATGACACTCCAGGAGGAAGGAAGGAAGAATGGTCAGCAAACAGTTCCCCAGGCTAAATGCTTAATACTTAATAAATTAAATCAATCAGCCCTTATTTCCTTTGGTAATGCTTTTTTAGTACAGCTGACTCGGTGATTGCTGAATCTCTTGCAGATGCTAAAGAAAACCTACATGAGAAAACTCTTGTGTTTACAACACTATCTGTTTCCTTGTACAGGTGATATTTGAAGCAAGGTCTATGGTAGCCTGTTGTAAGAGACAGATCAACAAAGGGGTATTTACTGATTGAATGAATAAAGCTGGAGAGTGAATTTAGTGTTTTTAAAAATAAGTGTGATGACTTGACAGAGCCTGCTAAACCCAGTCTCTCTTGAAAGTAAACTGCTGAATACTAAGATGTGTAATGTCTGTGAATGGGATGTAGTAGGAGTAGAATGTTAACCTCCAAACTCCTGTTTGGACCAATAACTTTCATTGATTTGAATGAGATTAAAAACCATATAATCTGAGAAGTAAGATGAATTTAGTTGCAACACATGAAAAGCAAATGCACCAAATCTAGTGTTTCTGCTTGAACTTCCAAGTGTTACTTCCAAAACTGATTCTCTAGTTACAAGAAAAATTTAGTACGACGCCAAGGAATTTTTCTTTTTATTGAGGTAAAGAGGTTATATCACATCAAAACTAAATTAATAGGATCCAAAAAAGGATTAAATATTTATATGGAAATCATGCCATCTACTGTTGTTATAACCAAGTATAACATTTTAGAAGGGCCACCTGATCTTTGGTTTAAGCCCTGGAGCACGTCTGATTGTTAGAGACCAGTATTAGATTTGTATAAAGCCAGAGTTTTATTCCATCTGTCTACTGAGGAGTTCTTGCATGTTCCTCTTACATGTTTGATATTGGTCAAAGATAGGATACTAGAAAAGAAAAAGATAAAGATCTTTTTATTCTCCCTTTGCCAGTTGTGGGATCACTCCTGACATTTCTAATTAACAGTCAACTCTGGAAATTATAGTACTGCTAAACTTCTGCATTAATGAACTGGGGAATAGGGAGTAGCAAGAAGGGCAGCAGCAGGGGAGCTTGTATTGCTTTTAGGGAAAAGACAGCCGTATAGTCAGCAAGAGGAAAGTTCTTATGTACTTTCTACTGAATACTGAAACTGGGGGGAAATGGAAAATGCTCAGACCACTTTGGACTTTAGCAGATTCAGACATAAGCTGAACAACAATGAAGAGTGGGGATGGTATAGAACAGGAAGCAACGGAAGACATTACATTTCTTTCTTCCACCTCTCTTTTTTTCCTTTTTGTGAAGTCTCTAAAAGACAAACCCCCCCCCAAAACCCCCCCAAAAAACAGACAATACACAACTTTTTATTTGCCAGGTGCCAGTACCTTCTACAAACTTCCTTTCCAATGTGCCAAGATGAAGGACAAGAAATCAGTGACATCATAAGTCTCTATCTTGAATGTGGATGCCACTTTCCTTGATGGGAACCTAAAGTGTTTCCACTAGATAGCATCATTGTATTTTCTTCCCGTCCTGTATTTTATAAGGCCTCATTAACCTTTTTATGATACACAGCATCTGAAAGCATGGAACTGCTTTCAGTTATCTTTGTACTTTCTTCTCAGTGCTCTTGACATGTTGCTTTCTTTTCTTAATCTTGTTTCACTGCAGGTGTGTATGTCAAAGTGTCACTGATGAACCACAATAAATTCATCAAGTGTAAAAAGACAGCAGCTGTTCTAGGATCCCCCAATCCAGTGTATAATGAATCCTTCAGCTTCAAGACAGACCAGAAAGAGCTGGATACAGCAAGCCTGAGCCTGTCTGTGCTTCAGAAAGCTGAGGGTGACAGTAAGCAATATAATTGACTGTACCTGAGATGTCGCAAAGCTTGTTAGGTTCTTGTACACTGGCAGAAGTCTACTCTGGATAATTCTAAACTGAGAGAAGCATAATGGTACTTATTAATAGGAAAGTTGGGTATTTTAGAAGCTGCTGCTTAGATGGCTAGCCACTAGAAAAGGGTTCAGAAAAGCTAATAACATTGTTTTAAAATATTACATGAATTTTTTCTTTAGCAAAAAAGTATTCATACTTATGAATAAACCTGCAGTGGGAAACAGTAATTTTAGAGATTTGCACTGGTCCACCTTAAGTGTGTTCCTTGCACATCTTTCAGAGACCAGGTATGTCTAAATAGTGATTCTCAACCAGGGTACTATGGCACCCTGGGGTGCCACAATATTCATTTTAGGGTGCAGCAGAGAGCCACTCAATATTAGCACTGTTAGGTGTGCAAACACTACACATTCACAAGAAAAACCCAGAGATTTCAAATAGGAATCCATAGTATCAAAAACATTATGACCTGTTATGGTCTTTCTGAGTCCTGGGCAACAGAAGATTTGCTCTATTTTTCTGTAGTCAAGAAGTGAGTGAAAATTAAGAGCTAGCATTTTCTGACAGGTGCCTTGAGTCTAACAAGGTTAAGAACCCCTGGTTTCTTGCTTGTTATAGTCTGATGACAATGGGAAATCATTCATAGTAAAGGTGAATAACTGCACATTAATTCACTACTTGATATATAGTAATATTTAGAATAATTTAGACAGAAGAAAGACTGTGGGTATATACATCTCTTTGAAATTAAACTACAGGTCAACAACAGAAATGTTGTGACCTAGGAAGTATCCATATATTATCTGGGTATTATCATTTTTTTCAAATCTAAACAAGTACTGAAACAAATAACTTTCACGAGATTCAAGTGTAAAGATTCAATTTTCACAAGATTCAAGTGTAAAATCTTGCCAAAAGTTACATAATGATCTGGCTCTGGGGGACTGGAATTAGTGATATAATCTGTATTAGAATCAACACACAAATCCATAGCAGTTTTTATGTGAGTATCTCAAAATGTTTTACAAACCTAAAAATAAATCCAGTTAAGATGGGTGCAAATTACTAACCCCATTTTACAGATGAAGAATTGAGGCATGGAAAAGTTAAATGATTTGCTCAGTTTCACAGACTAAGTCAATGGTACAGAGCTGGAAACAGAATCCATAACTTCCAACCTCTGATTTGGTACTACAGTAACTGAGTAGTCTTCTTTCCTATAAAGAGCCTTTCACCTCCAAGTCTCAGCCAGTTTGTGACTGACCAAAGCAGGACACATTTTGAAATAACTCTTGAGGTGTAAGGGCTGGAATTAAAATATATGTATACAAGATTGGAGCATACTGGAAGAGTACTATAGCTCAAGATATAGGGTTCTTATACAAGTTACATTTTTTGCACAGTAGGACCCTTGAAACTCTCTACACCTGTGACAACATATATGCATGGCTGCAGAGTTTTTTTTAAAATGGCTGATCGTGTGAAAAATTAACCCTGGTCAAATGAGTAAGTACCTACTGAAATCATGGCAGAAGTGTGCACAGTGGCTCCCTTAATCTTGCAGTTTCCCCCATGATTCTCCCCACTGCTCGCTCTTGACTGGCAAGGAGGTGAGAACCACAGTTTTAAATATGGTATGGTTTTTGCCTCCCACCACTGAGTACCCCTGCTGCTTGCTGCTGACAATCTGGGAGGTAAAAACGGCGCCATATTTAAAACTGCAGTTTAAGCTTCCCCGTTGGTAAGGAGTGAGTGGCAGGGCTCTTCTGTGAATCAGCGTGTGGGGGCACATGGGGAAAACTGCCAGATTAAAGGAGCTGCTGGGCAGTGCACTTCCACTGTGATTTTGGTAGGTCCCTACAAATAAGGTATTAGATTAAGGCACTGTAAAGCAGAGTGCCATAGGGAACATGTTCCCTCCAGGGTTAATTTTTTGTGTTGGGGAGGACTGGGCTGCTGCTTGCGCCTCCAGGGCTGTTATCCCAGAGCTGTTTGCTGCTCTGAATGACCAGAGCTGAGGGGGGCAGGGGCAAGGTGGAAGGGAGACCCCTTGCCTCATGGACTCCTGCCATATGGGGTACTGGGGGGAGCCAGGCTGGGCCCGCAAGGCAGGGGCTCCCTTCCTCCACCCTGACCTGGACCTCTTGATAGCAGCAGCACAGAGCTGCCAGCTGCTTTAAATGACCAGAGCTGGGGAGGGGAGTGGGGCTGATGTCTGCCTGTTGGGTTGGGAAAGCGGGGGGCCTCTAACTCATAGCGCTTTATAGAGTGGGGCCCTGAACATCTGCAGGTACCTTTACAGCACGCTCCTCGACTGGAAATACTTTTTTTTTTTAAGTTAGTAAAATAAATGTTAATATTCTGATCTTAGGTAAAGGTCTAATCAGAGCATTAGACATGTACTGGTTACTAACCACCCTTTCTTTTTCTATTCAGAAAGCCACCAACTAGGACGTGTAGTGGTTGGGCCCTATATGTACACTAGGGGCAGAGAGCTGGAACACTGGAATGAAATGACCAGCAAGCCTAAGGAGCTGGTTAAAAGATGGCACGCTCTTGCTGCAGCACCTAGTTAAGCAACTGGTCCCTCTGCATGGCAGTCAAAGGACAGAGACCTCCTATAACACACAAAAGTGCTGATATGCTTTCTAATCCAAAGACAGGGGCACAAAATGGTCCCACCATTTAACCTCTTCCTCCAGCTGACAACTTTACATTTAACCTCCTCTTACATGCACACAACATAGTTGGCTGCTAAATTGTTTCTCTCTTCCTCCAAAATTATTTTTCAATTCTCTTTAATTATGTACAATAGAGCAAACAAAACAAAGATAAGCCTGAGTATAGTAATCCTATATCCAGTAATTTGGGCTACTGATCCTGCCTGCTGGTCACTACATTTTCATGTGGCTGGAATGTAAAACAAGTTAGGAATTGGGCCTAATTGACCTCTGCATTATCCCTGTTCTAGGCCAAGGCAACTTCACTAAAATTAATATAGGTACTTTGGCACTAAATTGGAGTAACACACTGATCAATTGGGCCTAAACTATGTTGGCTGAATACTGTATGTAATGCAAACACTATGTTACTTAGAATGACTGTACTGTAAATTTGAATGGGAGTATGATAATATTCAGAACAACCATTAGCACAATTATGTGCATCTCAAGATAACTGTACTTATCTCAGTTTAGCTGAACGTCTCCAACTGGCTCAAATTAAAACATTGACTTTCTGGTGAAACTGAAAGACAAAGGAGAAGGTACTGAAAATGTTGGCTAAAATTCTCATATTAAAATCTCTTTCTAGCTTGAACTCTGATGAATGAAATAGTTTTAGTGGAAAAGTAAGATGGAACAATTATTTTTAATCAGTGTAAAATAAACAGGACATCCTCTTCCCTCCTTGACTGCTCATCCAGAGCTTGACCCTAGGACCTTTCACACCCGAAACAACAATTATAAATCAGATCAACTAACTTCCTTTTAATGAATCATTTAGTACTTTGTTCCAATCAGTATTGTAATCTTTATAGTAGATATAAAACAGGCTTCCTTTCAAACAGGATGCATCATTAATTAGCTTAATACATTAAGCAAAACATCTCCTGAGAAACTAAAGCACTTTTTCTTTTGAAAACATTGCTCCTGTTTGCAGAAGGTACTGTGTGTTGGAATATCTCTGAGATGGGCAGTAGTACAGTATGTTCAAATCTGGTCTCCGAAGAGAAATATATGACATTCTCTCATACTACATGGTTTGTTATATGTTGGGAGGGCACACTGGATTTGTTATGTGAGGAACCTTATAAAATACCTGACACCATACTTTCTTTCCTTGAATTAATGCTATCAAGCAACAAAAACATGTCATAGATCTGGTTTTCCCAGTTTACTCCTCAAAACTGTTTAAAACAGTTTATTATTTATACAGTTTGTCTGGTTTGGGAAGCAAAATGATATCTAAATGTGTGCTAACTAAATTAATGCAACAATGCAATTGTAGCGACCACTATTTTTACAGCGTGGCACCTTTAAGATAAAAGACAACTTATCTGATAAAGGTGAACAATAAATTATGTTTCCTGCACAAGTGCAGGGGGGCTGGACTCGATCTGTAAGGTCCCTTCCAGCCCCTAATATCTATGAAACTGTGTGTCAGTCATGCTGGTGTTACTAGACTGTGTGTAGCTTCAATTAGTAATGTATTATTTCTGTTAATTAAAATGCTACTAAAACTAGAAAACAAGGGATTTTTGGTCCTTTGCTTGTACTTGTCAGGTTGACAGTGCATCCCTTTCTGTCTCAATAAACAGTGTATAATATGCAATAAAAATAATGCACTGCACTAATGCTGCTTCCTTTCTCAGTGCTGCTTATACATTATAAAATAACAAATACTGTGTCTATATGAGGTTTGCCATTTAATGATTCTACATAACATTATGGGGATTGAAGGATATACATACAGATATACATAAATGTTTCAGATGTACAAAAACTGCATGTAGACCAGGTTTAAGGGTAATTAAATTACAACACATGGTTTGTCTCTCATTCCAGATTATATCCAACCACTTCAAACAATGAGAATATAAAATAACCCCCTATAACTCTGTCCTTAACTTAAAATATACCATCCTATGTTTTTTCAATTAATGTTTCCAATTTGAAGGTTAATTTATTCTTTATGAATGATAAAAATTGGTATATTGTCATGGCAATTTAATGCAATCCAATCTAATCTAACCTAATTTGGCTGTAGAAGGCAGAAAAGAAGAAGCAATACTAAATTTGGTTCACAAAACTATACAAAACAGTACTGCTTTAGCCCTCTATATATCTCAGTCTAATAACAACAACAATAATAGCAACAGAAACAATACAGGTGCCAAGAGTCCCCCAGGCTGCTATAGACCTCTCCTCTTCCAACCAGAAAAGTGTAAAGGAACAGAGACTTTCTCTCTTTCCCCTCTACAACAGTCAATGGCTATACTGACTGTGTAGTATATCCTAAGGTCAATGTCTGCAGGTTATTATAAGAAGCTGTGCAGATTAGAGAGTGTGGATACCATGTGCTCCTGCTAACGTAGCTTAATAATCAGATGGCTGCATTATGTAGTAGTTTAAGTTTAGTTGCTAAATGATGAAAAGAAGAGCAGCAATCAATGGGGAAAATCCTTTTTAATGAAAATAAAAGCAAAATTGTTGTATAAAAGTATACCACATGAAAATTCATTAAATACTACAGAAGCAGTATATACAAATAACATATTTCCATATTTAGATTTTTGTATAAATTAAACATAAAACAATTTTATACTTTTAAAAAACTTACTCCCGTGGGCTAATTAATTTGTCTTCTTTTACTTGCAATCTGCTTGCTCATATGATCTCTGTTAACTGCAGAGGTTAGTGCTCCAGATTTCAGGATGAAAATCCAGCAGATGAAAATCTTGTTGCAAAGGATAGCTGTTTTCATCCAGCACAAAATGGCTTCTAATTTCCAACAAATAGGATGCTTTGGTGTCTGTTAGCAGTGAGTGGCATAGGTCTGCTACTATTATGGCATAGGTTGTGTCTGAAGAGGGCCCTGCAAAAGACAGAGAACCAACCAGTCATGCTTTGCTGTCATGCATCTAATAGTTAAGTCTCTCTTCCACCCCAAAAGAGCTGCCATTTTACAGTCCCATCTGTCTACTCTTGTCACTGAGGTACTCCAGGTTAAAACAGAAATGGAAAAAAGCACTGAATAAATAACAAAGTTAGGAAACTAGCTAGTAATTAAAAAACACATATATCCTTCTTTGGAAGAGTTTTGAACACACTCTGATTTGACAAGATCTTTATTTATGTGATGAGCTACAATTCCTTAGGTCCCTGAATTTACTCAGGGAACATATGTTAACTCCTCATGGGCGACATGCACCCCACAGGCAGCCAGTTGGACAGCCCTGCTGTAAACAAAACAAAAGCTCACGTTAAGGCCTTGTTGACACACCACTGGAACTTTTGCCAGCAAAAAATCACAACAGGATCACCCCCAGAGAGTATTCACGTCAGCATGGCTCCACAGCTTGCCAGCTGTGCTGGCAGGAGTGAAGTGAACTATGGGAAGGCACCAGGTGTTGAAATGACCACAGCAGTCAGAAGGTGCAAGCATATCTACACACATCTTTTACCAAGTAGTGGCTGTCTTCCAGTTGCAGACAGTGTTACTCTGCTGGCAGAAAGGCTAGGTTCTGCCACCTCAGGGGAGTTCTGAATGGAGAGGCACACCAATATTTTAAACAGACCCAAGTTTTAAATAACCGACTGATATTTAGCAATTTAACTTCAGAGTAATAATTTCTGAAGTTTGGCAATTAAGTATAAGCATCTCCCAAGTTCACTATGAAACAAATTATTTAAAAAAATAACAATATGTTATATAAAACATAAATACTGTACCGATCCCAATGGCCTGTCTCATCCAGCAGTCTGCTTGTTGTTTGTTTGTTTGTTACGGTTTTGGATTTTTTGTTCTGTACTTAATAGTTCTACTAACAAATAGCTTATGGAACAGTACCTATGAGTCTGTTCAGCCAGTCTGCAGGAATATTAAGGAAGATTTTTTCCATCAACTCTGACACCACATGAATACAAATGTCATATTCCCCATGTTCTATAGTCATCAGGGCAGGTCTAAAACAGAAAACAAGCATGCAGACTCTTACACAATGAATTTGAAATGGTGAATTTCTATAGTTGAAACAACTTCTGGTCAAGGTAATGAAATATTGTTTTCAAGCATGTAATATTATTGGTATGACAAATCTCTGCTGTGCTCTCAACTCTTACCACCTAGAGGAAAAGTTTGAGCTTGATGAATGCCAAACACAATGAATGATAGTGCCATTGAACTATAAATTAATACATATTTTTAGCAAATGGGGAAAGCTGTGCTTCTGCAGTTTTTTGCCAAGTTTCTTTTAAAGGACAATAAAAATTCTACCACTTGAGACCTTTCAGGTATTGACAAAAGCATGTTATGGTGTGATGCTGGTTTAGACCAGTTGGGCATCTGACACTTATTCTTCAAGCTCATAGTTGCAGTATTGACTTAGGACCTGAGGGAAGGATAATTTATGGTTAAGGACATGTCTGCAACATCTCTGGACCATATTATGGAGTACCACTGTGAAGCAAGGCACGCCTGCTCTGTGCACGCTAAATCCATCTGAGAGGTAATCTATGCACCTCAGAGCAGCCCTGGTCTCACACGAAAAAACTTCTGTGTTACGTAATTATTGCTACATGTCTAGCTCTATGCTAAGGCAGAGACATTACATCAATTAGGAGTTTATTGCAAGCAGAGGAGATGCACTCTACTTCATTGAGCCACCCCATAGTATGATCTGGAGGCAGTCTAGACATGCCCTAAAAACAAAGGACATTAAAATTGTATCATCAGTTCTGCCATGGATTTTCTGTGTGATCTTGGGCAAGCCACATAATTTCTTCGTGCCCATTTCCTCATTGCTAAAAGTGGTAATATTTATTCTTCCCTATCTTATAGATCTTGCAAGATTTTTTGTTTTCAAAACTAAAATAATGAAAAGCAAGGATAGGTCTATAACTAATAATGGGAAATAGCTATGGTTCAGGGAAAATGTGAGACAAGGATTTTTGTTACTGGATTAACTATACAGTTATAACCAAAAGCTTTTCTATGTCTCTATGACTTGTCTTAGGCCCCATCTGCATATTATACTTAAAGCATGACTAACCAGTTAATCATGTTTGAACTGATCAATCAGCCACATTAATGGCAAGACAAAAATGAGGAATAAGCTACAAAGTAATTCCACAAAATGTGTTTAATAACTTTGTAGCTGCTTCCTATTGTGCAATTAATTGAATGGGTGGCTGGGGGCCCTGTGGCTGGGAGTCCCATCTGCTGATTAGAGCTTCCAGCTGGGAAGGGCCCATGTACACCTCTAAGTCTAGGAGCTCCCAGACATGGGAGCACGTGCCCCTGTGGCTGAAAGCCCCATCAGCTGACAGGGCTCTCAGCTACAGGGGTGCTCCAGGCACCCCCATATTTAGGAGACCACAGTTGACACAGTGTCCCATCCACATGGGTGTGTGGATTGCATCAGCTGCTATTTTTCAGCTGCAGGGATGACTAGCATACCCTCATGTCTGGGAGCCCTGTCAGCTGAGGGGGCTGCCAATCATGTGAGCTTCTACTTGCTGGTGCAGAGGGAGCCTGGGATCATGATCCCGGGTTCCCATTGCACCAGAAATGAGGTTTGATAGGATCTAATTCATGATCCTAGTCATGCTTCCTGCCATGCATGTGTGGCATGGCAAGAAGCAGACGTGTGGATCATGCATCAGATCCTATTGTGATTTACCCGCATGTCTAGAGGGACCCTTAATCACTTAAAGAATGATCTAAGGCAGGGGTGGGCAAAATATGGCCCGTGGGCTGAATCTGGCCTGCCTGGCAATTTAATCTGGCCCGTGAGCAAGCGCCCACCAATTAATTGTACCCTGCCTGGCCCACAGCTGTCCTTGCTGCATTCGTACGAGGCCCACGGCCACCTGGGCAGCATGCTGTGCTCCCACACTCATGTGGGAGAGCACCCAGCTCCAGCCCCAGACAGCACACTGCTTCCAGGCAGGGCCATTGCTGCTGCTGCCAGAGAAATTGCTCGGCTCCCCCGGCTCCTCCTTATGTCCCTGTTCCTGCATTCCAAGAAGCACTGGGGGCCAGGGAGAAGCTACAACTGAGCGGGAGTGCAGAGCCCACAACCATCGAGGTGGCCCACACCCATCGAGGTGGCCAGAGCACAGGTTGGTCTGGTTCCATCACATGGGACTCTCTGTGGCTCAAGTGCAGTTCCCAAGATTCACATGCCACCAGAGGGAAGTCCTGCATGATCAAGTGGCATTTGCCACTTCTTGCTGCAATGTTCAGCTCCCGGGACTCCGCCTCTGCCAGAAGTGCAGCAGGGAGCCCTGCTTCCTATTTCCCAGCAATGTCCCGGGAGCTGCATGTGATGGCAGGGAGTGGAGCCAGGCTGCTGGCTCCATCACGTGGGGTTCCTTGCTTGTGGTGTACAGTTCTGGCCAGGTCCTGGGAGCTGCACTTGAGATGCGGGGAGCCCTGTGCAATGGACACAGGGTGGTCTGGCCCAGCTCCTTGCCAACACATGCAGCTCCCAGAAATGGTCAGAGCTGCGTGCTGCTGTGGGACTCTGCCTGCATGGGCCATGAGCTCTCCCTCACATCACCC